TACAACCTGATGCCAATTTGGTGTTGTCCGAAGAAATCGACACACTCCACACAATGTTGTCGTAAGGTAAGACGCGCGGTTTTTGGTTTGGGATCTCGAGAGACCACAATCTTGCTGTATAATCATCACTACTTGATGCCAATCTAGTGCCAAATGAGTAGATAGCAACACATGTAACACTTCCGGAATGTCCCTCTAATATCTGCGGTTCCTGACTAAAATTCTTTAGGGACCATAATTTTACCGTCCTGTCGGAACCACCAGACGCCAACCTAATGCTATCCGAAGAAATGGCTACGCTATTGACTGGCCCGCTATGTGCTTTGAAAGTATGTACGTGTTTTAATGACTTTGCATCATGTAAGTAAATGTTTTCACTACCGCCAACGGCAAGGAAATGCCCATCGGGTGAGTAACATAAGCAAAAGGTTTTCTATTTAAAAAGGGCATCTCTCCAAACTGTACATTTAGCATGTCAGTCGATTCAAAATTGTCACACCGCAGCCATGCCCCTCGAAAGTTAACATTACTTAAATCAGCTCTTTTAAATTTTACACAATCAAACATTCCATAACTTACGTCTGCTCCCGCAATACGAATGCCTTCCAGATTTTGCCTGCTAAAAACAAATCTGGCTTTAGTCAAAGTTGTAATTGCATTAGCTGCTGCTCTATGATAAGTTACTTCCGTTTTAGATTTCTTGATAAATTCATGGAGCCAGTCTCTGAAATTGATTCCTGCTGTGCATATTCAACCAAGAAGCGGATCACACCGGGGTCAGCTACAAGATTTTTATCGATAAAAAGATCTTTTGCGTTCTTGGCATTTTCATCTTTTGCTGATTTACTTTCATAGATTGCTCTCGCAACGAAATATTCAAGCAACAACCTATGCAAAAAACTACTATGGCTAACACTGTTTGTAGAATATTCAATGCGTTTTAGTTGGTAGCCGCTGCACAATAACATAGTCTTTGGTTTCGAATTCAAAAAAGATATCCAGGTTGAATTTTTGGAATACCGTGCTATTACTTGTTCTTCTTTGCATAATTTCAAGGCAAGGGCTTTAACTTTATCAAGCACCGCTCTTCGAAAACCTCCCTCTTTTCCTTTCAATTCATCAAATATTTTTTTTTCTTCTTTCGACAGTTTCTTTTGGGCGTTGATGTTTTCCAAACGTGCATTAGCTTTGTCAAACCATCTATCCATAAACGCACTGTATAACCCAAGCGCGTAATTCGTGATCAACACACATTATCACTTACCAAATCCGGCAAGATCTCCATTGCAATTCTTAAGATAAAAGGATTACTAAGTAAGTCCTTTTCGATCTCAACATATTTCATAATGTATGCGTCAATTTGGGCGGGAGAGAATGGTGCAATTATCAACTTTTGGAATTCCGTGCGATTCGGCAGGTTGCAAACCCGTATGAACAAAAATTATCTTCATTGAATTGTTCCATGCGACAGCTCACAATAACCTGTAGCTTTCCAATCGAGAAGGCCATTGGACACGTATAGATTATGCTCTCGCTTATCTTTATCTATCTTATCATAGCCATCTAAAATAAAAACAAACTATTGTTGGTCCTTGAAATTTTGAATTTCACCATCTGAAAATCCTTCTTTATCTTTTAAATATTCGGAAACGAAATTGCGAACCGGATCCTTTAAAGTTGGCAGCGAGATGAATAACGGAATGATTCCTTCCTTCTTGTACTCCTGCCAAAAGGATTGCGTAAGTTTCCGAGTAAACATAGATTTTCCTGCCCGGCATCCCCCACGAGTAAGAGTACTCTCTTATTTGAATCATTTAAGAATTCGTGAACTTTATCAGACAATTTGAATGTTTCCTTATCAACGAGCCGATATTTGCATTGAGGATCAATATAACATGACAACTTTTCGATCTCGATATTTCCTAATTGCCTATTTTCAAGCCTATCGGTTAAGACTACGAGAGATTTCTGTTCACTCAGGCCACTTTTAGATAATCGTCCCAAGAAACTCGGGAATCTTGAATTCTTCCGGGAAGGCGTTAATTGAAAAATTCATTCTTTCCTTTGCAAAAACTCTTTGCCCAATGTTTGTATTGCTTTTGCGTCTATCCCTAAGTCACAATCGACCAAAAAAAGTGCATCAACAGTGATATTGTTTATAATTAAAGAGTGCAAATTCATCATCGAGAAACAAAATACCTTTCAAATCAGCATCCTTCTTCCACATGTATACCCGATCTCGACCTAGTCCTTTGGCAGCGTACAGAGCCTTGTCGGCGATCTCGAGCATATCTTTCGAGGATTCTACGAAGGAATTCATTTCGACAACTCCAATGCTGAGTGTAATTTGTAGCTGTTTTTTGTTGCAACAAAACTTTTTAGCCTTAACGCAAGCTCGAATTTCCTCGGCAGTTTCATAGGCTGATTGTGCATCAGTGTTATTTAAGAGAATGGTGAACTCGTCTCCACCATATAGCGCAAAAGTGTCCTCAGGACGGATGTAAATTGTTTTAATCAATTCAACCAACCCAATATTTCTAAAATATAATTTCCCGACTCATAGCCGTAATTATCATTTATCCCCTTAAAATTATCTACATCAAAAAATAATAAGCTCAAATTCTTCCCGTTATTTCTTGCACATTCAAATTTATCTTTCGGGATTTTATAAAAGTAATCGCGATTGCATATACCAAATTTTTGACTCATGCGACTCAGGTATTCTCCCGCAGGGAGAAATTCAAGAATGCATTTTCCTATTTTAATCAAAACTCCTTTTCTAGGGGATACTTTTCATGAGGTATAAGTCGTTCTTCATTAACAAAGGTTCCAGATGATGACTTCTGATCTATAATTGAAACTGATCCGAAATCTTTTATTATTCTTGCATGCTCCCTATCGGCATTTTCATCCTTTGTGACGACATGATTTAAAGGATCTCTTCCTACGAGCGTTTCTGTTTGGTTAAGGAAAAAATGATGATTTTCGGGTGAACCCTGGTAAACCTTCAAACAAGGTTCTTGAGTTTTTATCATGTTGGAGTTTATTCCTGGAAGAATTACTGGAATGTAGTCGGGTCCTTGGTGTATGTGCACAAGATCTATTTTCCCAAGGCGATCGTGGATTTCTTCAATCAGCGGCCGATTCTCGGGTGCCATATCCCATGCTCCGCGATAAAGTTCTGCATAATCTATCGGAGTTCCGATGACAGGACTTTCTCTGGTTCCAGACACCAGCTCATGTTTTAAGGTTTCTTTGTCTCGCTTATCAAAAGGAGGTTTGCCACTTAATATCTCCCATAACAATACGCCGAGGCTGTAAATATCTGAATGCTTATCTTTTTTTTGCGACGTGAAAAATGACGGATCTATGTAGGCTATCATTTCAAGGTCGATGCGTGCCATCGGATTCATCGAGGGATAAAGATGACCCGAAACCTATAATCACTGGTCTTTTGCGACTGTTGATCAATATATTTTGTGGATTCTTTTGCGCGGTGGTTTTAACGGAGGGTAAGCAATTAATCGCTCACATCAAAAGTTGGACAGTATGATAATGAATACTCACCAGATTACCATGGACAATCTTTTTGTTGTGAATATGATTCAAGCCACCGACGATGCCTTTAGCTATTCCTGTTTTAGCAATCCAATTCAGTTTTTCGAAATTTGTTTTCTAAGATCCACTTCGCCTGAAAATCGAAGTACCATGAAAAGTTTCGAGTCTGGATCTATAGTGCATAATGTTAATCAATTGACCAAAAATTTCGATGATGCTATGAAATTATAATCAGTGAGAACACCTTCAGTAATCCCAATGAATCTAACAACATTTTCATTATCTTCGATTTCCTTCATCTTGTACAAAATTTTCACCTGAAATATTTCATAATGCATTAGAATTCTACATAAAAACAGAAGACTCAATAGGATTAAGCAATACCTGACGGTCAAAATTCCTATGATATCCATCCTCTATTATATGTTTAAGAACGACATTTATCTGGTCTTCTTCTAGGTACGCCCTTTAAACAACACTTGATTCGGTTTTCGAGATGAGAACATTTTCCTTGAACGAATCATGGGGTAGTCTACTAATATGCTCGGGGTGCATTCCTTTTTGTCTTTGAAAAATTCATTTGCAACTCCAATGAGTTTGTTTGGTTGGTTTGTACTGCGCGAATTATGCATGTACGTACCACTGTTCACAATCCGCTTCTTAATGTGGAAATGCTGAATTAATAAGTCACATGTTAATCCGTAAGAAAGAACATGGTTAATTAGCACCACAGAATTCCAAAGGTAAAGATCTCTGATTAATCATTAATCAGTTGGCACTGTCTGTGTGATTAAAAAATGTGCTGATTAAATTACAGAGAGATGTATTAAATTTAAATACATAAATTGTTTACGTAATGTCATCAATGTATACTTTAAATATACCGTATATTAAACGGTGCGGTGAAATTCATAAAGAAGAATATTCATTATACTTACATTTAGGATAAATATGCATTATGCTTTGTGCAGTACATTATTTATGACGTCCGAATTTATTTGGACTTTGGTTTTATGAATTCGAATGATAAATTATTATGCAGTATATTCAAATATGAATATATTTCACCTTACATAATGCTTTTATAAATTAATGCATTTCGAAGATATGCAATATCACAAAAGCCAAACATCGTGAGCAACGACAGCTTTCCGAAAAAATTTGTAATGTTAAAGAAAATGTGAAGACAGAAAAAAAAAAAGACTGATGCTAGATGAATAACGATATGATAATCTAAATATATACTGCACATTTACTGTACATATTTATAAGTTGGTGTCAAAAAGAATCAGGCATTAAACAAACATGCAAATGTTCGGAGTGAAAATGCAAAACTTATGCGATGTTATGTATGGGCTGGTTATATATTATTCACAAGTAAAATATAGATGAAAGTGCAATTAATTAAAAAGTTATAAATAAACGAACCAAGGATAGTGCGCTTAAAGCCATAATGCCTGTTTGACTTTGAAGCCAACTTTAGTCATGATACCAGTGCTCTTGTTTGCTTCTTCCAAACTAAACAAACGCAAACCACTAAATAAGGTAACTTGTTCGCAATCATAAAAGCTCAATCACGGAAAAATCTTACCTTATGATCGGCCTTTCTATCAAGAACTCGTCTTCCTCTGCATTCCCGATCGCCCAACAGGCATTTACAATTTCTCCAACCACTTCATTCACCACCAGTTGACTTGACTTATATGATGACCCTTTTCCGGCGTTATTTCCGCTGCCACCACCATCGAACTTGGTTGCTTCGCCAACAATATTACTTCTAAACGCCTTGAAAGCCATAAACCTCTCTTCACCAGACGAATTATTATTAAATTCATTTTTCCTATTGTTATTCCTCATACTTCCGGAATTAATTCTACTTGATTCTCCTGATGCTCGATAATGCACTACGAATCCATAATTGTCCTCCACGGATACACATGAAGGATATAAGGTAGACAATATGTATTCACCTATAAGAAGTTAAAAGGAAAAAGCTAAAGAGTCGCCAAAGAATAATCATTTTAATCCAATAAGATGAATATTAAAATCGCTTCACCTTTTTCAATGTACGTAATCTCCCCCAATCCAATCCTCTTAAACTGAATGACCTTTTCAAGTTTATAATGAAAAGTGCAAACGTATAATGCACTTTTTGTTAAAAGTAAAACCTTTTCCTCATATGACCTTCCTCGTCTATAAACATAGAAGACAAGTTCAGAGAGATGTTTGCGGAATAACAAGTCAAGCAAACTTACAGAGTGTTTGGCTCATTAGGCGACAAGAACGTCCATCCGTTAATCTTTTCCTCATTTTCCACTATGACAATAGAACTACTTATTTCAACTACGATAAACAACCAATTGTCAATTAATTGCCGATAAATATTTAGACAATATTAAGTAAATAAGCATACTTGCTGTTGCTCGAACTTTGGCCCATCGTTCAGCGTCACCTGGTTGAGATACTTCAAATTTCTGTTGGAGTTCTTGGAAAACTTCAATTGAATGATTACCAAGAAGGTAATCAATCAAAGCCTAATTTTAAAATGTTCGCGAGTAAAGAATTCAGCAACCAATCAACACCAAAAGATAAATGAGTTGAGCTAGGGGTCACCTGTCGAAAGAAATCTTTAAAATTGTTTTGAAACAAGCGGGCTATCGAGTTGGACGCATCATTAACGACCCCTTGTAGATTCCTCTTTCCTACACACATTAGCAGCTTCTCAAATAAATATACATTTATATGTCTTTAAGAATCCTAGAGTTGAGTTATTAAGTTCTTACCAGTTCTATTTACAAAAAAAAAAAGATAGTGGTTAAAATCAACATTAAACTAAAAACGACCTATTTCGGCTAGAATACATCCATCACCTTGTGAAATCACCTTTCAGCGCACTAGTTCCCGCATACTCTTTGCTTATGGAATCCCCGTTATTTGCCCAAACTAATAATTCGAGAATATTGTTGATTTTTGTTTGTTTTAATTTTTTTTTTCTTGTTTACCCTCTCAGAAACTATAGAATATTTAACTACCTTCGTTAAATATATTCTCGAATTGTTCGTAATGAGAGATGCCATCGACAATGAACTCGGATAACCCTAATCTTAAGAGTTGAAGGTTTAACACCTCCCTGGCAAGAGCACTCTATGGAAGCAAATAAACAATAAAATTTATGTAAAAAGCAGATGTCCACTTAAAATAAAATACGCAATATCCACCTGCACGACATTCGTACGATCCAAGCAATCCATACAATTCTATACAAAAATTGCTATTAATTAGGGATATAGGTGACGAACCATGAAAGGAAATTTTGATTGATATCAAACCGTACGAAAAATGCCTTCTTGGCGACAATGAACTTCTCCATTGTCACCCACCTTCCAAAAGTATCTAGTTTACAATTGACTTAGCGACGGCTGAAGAAAACATTAGACTCATTCAAATATAAAACTAAAAATTACTTCATAGCGGAGAATCTTTGGTCAAGCAATGATATGAGATTTGAGATATTCTCGTATTTCATCCCCTTACATTCCTTATGGAAGTCGAACTCTGTATACCTAATGCAAAAGAAAAATGGATTTTTATAATTGGTTTGGACTTTTCTAAAAAGTCAGCAATCTTCTGCCTACTTTATTGCATCGCGGTTTTGCTTTTCTAATTCCTCCCGATAAGCACTCCCAATAACTGCTTCCCTTCCGTTTGTCTCGACCAGATTTATGCAATTTACGATTCCATAATTTAGCAGTATAGAATCAAAATGTTTCGAAAATGCCTCACTATTTTCACGATCAGAGCGTTCCAAAATAGGCCTTGGCTTCAATCCGTAAGGGGATTGTGACCAAAACAATGGAACTAGGTAATCCAAAAAAAAAAAATTTTTTTTTTTTTCTAAACAATCAAACGAATACTAAGGATAAGAGGAAACATACTTGAACCACGAATTTGTAAAAAAGAGACTTCGTGATGATCATTATCAATCTTAAAAGTGAGAAACGTATGTGAGGTATTTTTATTTAAAGAAAAACAATACACCGTGTAATATTCCTTTTACCTCGATTGATATAATTTGTTCAGTTTCGACGTAATTAGCAACATGCCCATTTTCATCAATCCCTCTACGCTGATATCTTAGACCTTTGTATAAATACGCACACACACAAATAATATGAATACAAGTTCTATTAATAACTTGAATAAAATTCCGGGATTCGGTACCTGCTCTGTTTCGACTCCGCCGAGAAATTATCGTAAAATCGAACTCTCTATTGTCGATCACGCAACGTTCCGTCTGTACAAAACCTTGCATTACAGGCAATATCCACGCATGGAGCTGAAATATGAGCCCAGCACCGTTAATCGCGTATATGAATATGAAATTTATTATATAAAAAAAAAGTTTTTGACGAAGTCTCTACCTCAAGCTCAATAAGATGACGGAGCATGTGTTCGTTCCACCAAAAACTTTTCTCAGCCTATTAATAAAATAACGGTATCTTTTTAAATGTTGTAAACTTAAAGACACATTATAATGACAAATTGATGATCAAGTCAAAATTAACCTACCTGTTTCCAAAGGGGATGATCATTTGATAAAATCCGTTCATATTTCTTCTGCAAACTAGTGGTTATATCTAAATTAAATGAAATTAATCGAACTTGATAAATAAAAGATTAATTATTCTCCGTCAGACAATTAAAAATTCTTATTTACCAAGTTCATATGAGAAGAAAAATGAATCTGATTGAAACAAATTTGTGAGCTCCCTTGCTATTCTTGCATCCAGCACCTATAATTCAATAGTTCGTCAAATTCGTCACATATTACAGCCTTTAAACATAAGGATTACTTAAATCACTTTACTTTTTTGTCAATAGGATCCTTGATGCTTATGGTTTTTGAAGATGATTCGTCTTTACCAAGTCCCTCGAAAACCCCCGTCATTCGTTTCGCAGCGGTTGACAAACCGTTTGCAAACGAAAAGATGTCTGGAGAATTCTTTGGGAAATCTTCATTAGAGAAACCTCCATCCGATGGAACAGTTTCCCATTCACTATCCTTATCTAACTCGGAATCAGAATCGTTCGAAGAAATTGAAGGTGACCGCTTCCTTCGCAATTCCGAAAATGTGGATTTCACCTTTGAAAAAAATGCTGACATAGGTTGTTTTTTGGGCAAAGAATCGGAAATAACGGATGAATCAAGTGTTGCTTCAGACTCGGGTGTTGACGATAGTATTTGTGATGAATCTGGCACCTCAACCTCTTCTATTATATTAGAAGCGTAACGCTGGTGTCCTTCTGTATTATCCCATTCATCATCCAATGGCCATTGCTGCAGAACGCCGATGAAAATTCATATTAGCTGATATTCTTTTCTTTTAAAGATTTGAATGAAATACTGACATGTTTTTCGAGGATCTTACAAGCCCTTTTATAATCCAGGGGTAATACTAAAATCCTTTTGACCATATAGACATCTTTGCCCTGTATTTTCCCAAGATTTTTTCGCTCCGTGATCACAATTAAGTGGATCGCTGCGTATGAAGTACAATATTAATCCCGCGAATCTTTTTCAAGCAAACGTAAAAACATAAAACTATATTAATACGAACCCGATAATAACTCCAACAGCCCTATTACACCATATATGTCGTAGGATTTACAGTCCGGACTAGCATCATATGAATCTGTGTTAAAAAAAAAAAAAAAAAGGCAAAAATAGTAAATAATAACATAATGATTGGCTAGGATTGTTCAGTTGATACCTTTCTTTATGATTTTTCCAGTTTCTAAATCGATAAGCAAAAAATCATTTCCAGCAGTTAGAACAAAGAACTCGTTGTCAATGTAAAGACTCGACTTCTTGTGCAGTGGCGGTGGTGGTAAAGGCTGCGGAGGCGGTAGCGATGTTGATTTTTTTCTCATAAAGAACATTATATACTCGTTCGATTTACGTAATATCTGATATATGAATTATTAAAATTTCGGCTTTATCGACTTTTTATAGTTTTTTTTTTTATAGGGATGAGCCGATCACATGGGGGTTTTATTTGATGCGGTGTTACCCAAAAATTTCAATTACGTTATGAAACCCAAATTAGAATGGAACGAGGTCCAAGGTTGCCATTTTTCGAAAAAATCAAATTTGTTTTTTTCTCAATTGGGCAAATTATTTGTTTGCGCTCGAGATCATGTCACGAGCACCATTTTCATTTAAACTTTTCCAACTTACGTATTATGTACGTATGAACAGAAATGTTTTTGTTTCCATTATGTAGCCTAAAGCTTAAAAACAAATGAATTTTGATTTAGATAAACCCTTATTATTAAGAAAAAAAAAACTTTAAAAAACACTGCATATATTGCGTCATAAATGTCTCCTTAACGTAATTGATAGCATAAAAAAGCAAATGAATCAGACATTATAATAATTACATTGTGAAAATTAATTCCTTTATATTGTATCACCGCATTGCATTCTCTTTTTAACTAATAAACGATGTTTATACCTCTTTTACCAGTAATTATGGTAGCAAATGTATTGATTATTTTAAATATAAGTATAATATACTGTAAATATAATGTCGCATTGGTTAAAAAATAAATAAATATTTAAAAAAGAAACAAGTTTTTATCGGGATTTTTATTATTATTATTATTGTTGTTGTTGTGTTGTTTTTGTTTGATTTTGATTGATTTTTGATCTGAAAAAAGAATTATTATTAAATTTATTGAAAAACTTTATATTTAAATATAGTAATAAATATATATTCAAAAAATTTTTATATTGATATTTATGTAACAAAGTTAACTTTAACAAAATTCTTTTTGACAATATATAAAAAAGATTTTTATAGAAGATTTTATACTTTATAGTAAAATATCTTTAAAACAATTTGAAAATTAAATTCAAAGGAAGATTGCCTTTATTTTCTTATTAATATCCTTTATTATACAAAACCTTGACTTTGATAATCAAAAAAAGACAAGAAACATATTTTTTATCTAATCTTAATTTGAAAACTTCTATATTATTTTTATTTTATATTTACTTATTTTAAAAAGTTTTTAGGAAATTTTTATTTATTTTATTTTGATCTTTAATTTTTAAATAATATAAAAATTTTTTAGAATAATTAATAAAAATAAAATCTTATTAATTATAATATATATTAAAATAATATAATTATTAAAAGAAAAAGTTAATTAATATAGACCTATGGGTCAATAGCACAGTAGTAGTATTCCTAGGTCACAATCACAAGATCTGTAGTTCAATACCATTTAAGAACCAAAAATCAAAACTATCCTTCTGATTAGGTTTAACTGATTATCCTGTGAAAGTTATATCCAATCATTTGAACCACATTCGAAACAGGTTAGACTGCATGAAAATGGTTCTTTTGACCTTTTATCGACAGAGGCTAAAACTTAAGGTCGTACTATTGGAAAGATTGCATGAAGTAAGGCTTCTGGTCT